ATGTTAACATAAAGGCTAGTTTTGAAGTATAAGCTGCTACTTACAGGCATCGCTTCGAAGAACTCGACCTGGAATGAGGCGTTAATAACAAACCCGTGTGTTCATCTGCTCTACCGCTAGCAAACAACCGTACTGATTAAATAACATAAAAGTCAAGCAGTTCTCTAAACAGATGGCAGCAATGTGCCCCACAGTTTACAGGACACACTTCCTGCTAAAGAGCCCCCTGGTGGTTGAAGAAAAATCCACATATAAACCGGAAAATACAATAAATGAAAAAAAAAAAATCTGAATGCTGGTATTGTTCAGGGGGCCGGACCAAATGTGCGGGCCGTAGTTTGGGGACCCCTGTTTTAGAGGATTTATCTCATGTGAAACCAGAATACTGTGTTAATAGGTAGGAGCAGGGGTGAAAGTAAGGGGGTAAGATTTAGCTGGGGTATGCAGTACCTTCAAGAAAATGGAGCGGCTGTCTGCTGTAAAGAATCAGCGGGTGCATGCAACCGTGAGTGCGTCCGCTGATTAGACATGACTGAATGGTTATTCTAACAATGACCAGTCTAAAACAGTGGCTTTTAACCTTTTTTGAGGTACCAAACCCACCAGTTTCATATGGGCATTCACTGAACCCTTCTACTAAGTAAAATATTGCCTGCGCTGCTGGAAACTGTTGAGCGGAGGGGGGGTACGTGCTCCTCCGCAGCACTGATTGGCTAAGCAATGTAACGTGATCCTCTGCAGCAAGTGATGGCAAAACTGGGCGTCATCACAACTTTACACAGTGTGTCTTTACCTCCGCGGCAGAGGCTCCGCCGAACCCCTGAGACCGTCTCATTGAACCCCTGGGGTTCGATCGAACCCAGGTTAAGAACCACTGGTCTAAAACATGACTTAATAAGTTAATAAATAGATTTTTCCTCACTTCATATTGTTTCTGAACTGTTCGTGATATGCTAGCCCCTCAATTCTCCACCTTTTGCCCCCTCGGAGTTCGAAGCTTTCGTCAACTGCCAGCCTTTAAATTTACTCCGCTACAACATTGTTTGTTACAAAATATCCAAAGTAAAAGCAAAGAGAGATGAACTAATTGTATTTCATGTAATTAGGTTCAATTTCAACAACACATCA